TTTTTTTTTTTTTTGAGACAGAGTCTTACTCTGTCACCCAGGCTGGAGTGCAGTAGTTTGATCTTGGCTCACTGGAATCTCCACCTCCCAGGTTCAAACAATTCTCCTGCCTCAGCCTCTTGAGTAGCTGGGATTACAGACACACACCACTGTGCCCAGCTAATTTATGTATTTTTAGTAGAGATGGGATTTTGCCAGGGTGGCCAGGCTGGTCTCGAACTCCTGGCCTTATATGATCTGCCTGCATTGGCTTCCCAAAGTGCTGGGATTACAGACGTGAGCCACTGTGCCCGGTCCGAGACGTAAATCTTTTGAAAAATAAGCTTTAGTAGAACAATCTTGAGGAATAACACAAGAGGAATAGCAGGTTACCAGTAAGGTGTCAGTCGATTTGTTTCAGCCACTTTTGAATTCATGTTCTATAATCTATTTTATTTTATTTTATTTTTTTGTGTGTGTGTGACGGAGTTTCGCTCTTGTTACCCAGGCTGGAGTGCAATGGCGCGATCTCGGCTCACTGCAACCTCCGCCTCCTGGGTTCAGGCAATTCTCCTGCCTCAGCCTCCTGAGTAGCTGGGATTACAGGCATGCACCACCATGCCCAGCTAATTTTTTGTATTTTTAGTAGAGACGGGGTTTCACCGTGTTGACCAGGTTGGTCTCGATCTCTTGACCTCGTGATCCACCCGCCTCGGCCTCCCAAAGTGCTGGGATTACAGGCTTGAGCCACCGCGCCCGGCCATCATGTTCTATAATCTAATGTTTAGTTCTCTTTCCCCAAGCTGAGAGCTTCCTATCATGTCAGTATCTACGTTATGAAGGAAAGGAGACTTAGGTGAGATGTTTGTATTTATCACAACTGCTGCATCAATTGTCTAGGACCTCAACAGTTTCATGGAAGTTGGAAAATGTTCATGCATAAAGTTATTGCCTTAGCTGACTCAAAATTGCCCCATACAATGGTACATATCAACCCTTAGTGAGGCCTTTTGAAAACCAAACAGGTTGAAAAATAAGTTTAAGTAGGCAACGACACCATCTGCCTTTAGAGCTATCAACTCAGGAATTCTCTCAATTATAAAATCTTGCAGAGAAGTTATTTTTCTCTCTCAAAATCCAGGTAATGACAATATTCCTTACTCCAGATCTGGCATTTTTTCATTTTCACTATCCTGTGAATGATCATCTGCTCCATCTGGTAAATCTACATCCTCTTCACCACCCATGTTGTTCTCAGAGAAACGATCAAAATCAGACATGGCTTCGTCTGAATAATCTTCACAATCTTTCCAATGACTGAAGTCCACACTAAGCCAGTTAAGATTTACCCTTTCTTTTGTTAATGTTGGCCATGACTGGCCAGATTTTCCTTTTCGTAAACAACTAAAATCCATCAGTCCGTTCGTTTACGCTTGATATCATTGGCTCAATACAGTGAAAAAGATCAAAATGCTTCAAATGAACACTTCCAGGAAGTGGCGGTACTAGGGCTTCTGCGCAGCTAGTGGAGGAGCAGTCCAGGCCACAGCGTGTGCCCTGAGCTCTCTGCCTCCCCTGCCTGCCTGCCAAGGCACCAACAGCGCTGCCAGCAGCCCACGGCAGGGTGGAACGCCCACATCGACAACCTGGTGGCAGAAGGGACCTGTCAGGACACGGCTGCCGTGGGCTACGAAGACTCGCTCTCCATCTGGACTGCTGTCCCCCTGGAAAACCTTCACCAACATCAGGCCAGCTGAGGTTGGTGTCCTGACTGGCAAAGACTGGTCAAGTTTTTCGTGAATGGGCTGACACTTGGGGGCCAGAAATGTTCTGTGATCCCGGACCCAGTGCTGCAGGATGGGGAACTGAGCATGGATCTTCATACCAAGAGCACCAGTGGAGCCCCCAAATTCAATATCCCTGTCACCATGATTGTCAGGACGCTGGTCCTGCTGACTGGCAAAGAAGGTGTCTAAAGCGGTTTGATCAACAAGAAATGTTATGAAACTGCCTCCTACCTCCAGCATTCCCAATACTGACCTCGTCTGTCCCTTCCCCACTGCTCCCCACAGCTTAGCACCCCCTTCCTTCCCATACACATATACACCATTTATATTTTGGGGGCCATTACCCCACACCCCTTATTGCTGCTAAAACCACACGGGCTGGAGGGCCAGGGCTGGATGGACAGTCACCTCACCCTACCCATGCCCCTTCTGTGTGTGGCTGGGAAACTTTTTTGGTGTGGGGGTTTTTCTTTTTTCTGAATAAAAAAGATTCTACTTAAAAAAAATTATCATTTCCTCCAAGACAACTGAATGCAAGTTTGGATTTCTCAAAACTGACATTAACATCTTTACTGTCTTCAACACAAAATTCAAGGAAGATATAGTCCCTTCTATCAAATCACGTTGCAGAAGCAGGCTGCGTGGGATAGGGAAACAGGTGGACTGGCATCCGGTGGCGGCTGCTGCCAGGAAGAAGATGCTCCACTCCCATGGCGACTCCGAGACTCTGCGTTCCTCCGCGGGCGCAGCCTCTTCTCGCTCCCCTCAGGTGAGGGCAGCAGCAGCAGGCTTGACCTGGGTCCTCAGAAGTCACCGCCTGACTTTTTTTGTTGAAACGGGGTCTGGCTCTGTCGCCCAGGCTGGAGTGCAGTGGTGCAATCCTGGCTCACTGCAACCTCCGCCTCCCAGGTTCAAGCGATTCTCCTGCCTCAGTTTCCCAAGTAGCTGGGATTAAAGGCATGCATCACCATGCCTGGCTAATTTTTTGTGTTTTCAGTAGAGACAAGGTTTCACCACGTTGGCCAGGCTGGTCTTGAACTCCTGAGCTCAAGTGATCCACCTGCCTCGGCCTCTCAAAGTGCTAGGATCAGAGGCATGAGCCACCGTGCCCAGCCCCATGCCTGACTTTTGAAGACCTCACTTTCTTCAGCTCTTAAATGGTAAGATAAAAGACCTTCGACAGTCCCTGCTACTTGTAACCCTCCCGACTGTCTTCTGTCCAGTGATTTTGATTTTGCAACATGGAAACTTCCAAGCCTTGATTCCTGAGCCCAGATGACATTTGCACTCTGGGGTCATTCAAGCACGGAGAGCTCCTCAGAAGGGGATCAACTGACCTCCCTTACCTAGCTCCTCCTCCGGAGGTTTGCCCTGGAGTTGAGCCAGCCCTTGAGGAGGCCTTCACTCCCACCACCAATCTCCCTTCTGGAAGTGAGCTCAGGCCTGGCTGGGCTCCAGGAGAATCTTTCACAAGGCAAGAGATAACACAAAGTCAAGGTGAAGATCAGTGTAGCCCTTTAAAAGCCTCTTTGTGTCCTAGAGTTGCCGGAGCTCTCCCACTCCACCGCTATCCCTCTTGCCTGCCAGCACCCAGCCACCATGTGGGAGCTTGTGACTCTCTTGCTGTTCACCCTCACCTATTTCTTTTGGCCCAAGAGAAGGTCCCCTGGTGCCAAGTACCCCAAGAGCCTCCTGTCCCTGCCCGTGGTGGGCAGCCTGCCATTCCTCCCCAGACATGGCCATATGCATCAGAACTTATTCAAGTTGCAGAAAAAATATGGACCTATCTTTTCCCTTCGTATGGGCAGCAACCTTACGGTGATTGTTGGCAACCATCAGCTGGCCAAGGAGGTACTTATGAAGAAGGGCAAGGACTTCGCTGGTCGGCCTCAAGTGGTAAGTGATGCCCGTCTCCTCCCTGTCCCCTTCTCCACCCCCAGGGTTGTTCAGGTCTTCACACCATGCCTAGAATGGGGCTTCCAGCTCCAACTGTAATTCTTCCCAAAACAGACTAGTGAGGCTACATGAGGGGAGTGAACCTTCAGACCCCTACCCCGGCTCTAAGTGAGGCAGGAAGAATTAAGGGAAGGCCTCCTTTCCCAGGCTGCCCAGGAGGCAGGGTGGAAGGATCGCAATAGTCTCGGAAGTCAAGGAATCCTCACTCCGCTCATCCCTCTGGGCCTAGACTCCTCTAGCGGACTGAGAAGGTGCATGTACAGCACTCAGCCTAGCGCCCAGCACAGTAAGTGCTCCTCATACAGCCAGGATTCGTGTTCCTCTTCTTGGAAAACGGGGGCAGTGATTACCGTCCTCCATGGGAAGCTGCTGGGGACAAGTAGCCTGGCTGTCGCAAACTGGGATTGCTGTTTTCCTGGTGCCGTTTCCAGCTGCTCTGGCTCACAGGGGCTGTGATCTACAATGATATTTTGGGGATGCTAATGAGCCTCCTGCTGAGCTTGCTCTTGTGCTCCCGGGCCAGGAGGGCTACTGATCATCCAGAAACACTGCTGCTGAGAACTCCCCTGAACACCCCAGCAGGGTCCTCAGCCTCTCAGCTTTGATCAAGCCAAGGGTTGGTTTGTTTTTCCTTGGACCAATCGGCCAGGTCTGCTGGCCAACTACCTGGCTCCCACCTCTGCTGGTTTCCTCCCCAGGGCAGAGAAGGTGGAAGAGGCTAGTCAGGTGGAGCTTCAGAGTCAGGAGATGGAAAAGGGAGGCTTTGGACTCTTATGCTTTTGGGGGTGCCTCTAGGAGGAGACAGCTTGGCCCAAGTCCAGACTGGGTAAAAAAAACATCTGCACTCTGCAGATGTGGGCTTGTGGTTGGGAATGCAAGCTTGCAATGGAAGGGTAAACCCAAGTGAGGTGAGCTGCACCTTTAGCACTCCCTAAAGGGCTCAAGGAAAAGCGGAGATCTGCGCAGTCCTCAGCCTCTATAAGCCCACCTGCTCCCTACCCTCTGGACAGGCATAGTTTAGAGAGTATCTCATCCATAGTTGCGTTCCTCTGGTCTGAAACTGATGAGCAAAAAGAAGCCCAGAAGCAAGGCACAGTAGCTCATGCCTGTAAACCTAGCACTTTGGGAGGCTGAGGTGGGTGGACCATGAGGTCAGGAGTTCAAGACCGGCCTGGCCAACATAGTGAAACCCCCTGTCTACTAAAAATACAAAAATTAGCTGGGCATGGTGGCACACCCCTGTAATTCCAGCTACTCAGGAGGCTGAGGCAGGAGAATTGCTTGAACCCAGGAGGCAGAGGTTGCAGTGAGCCAAGATTGTGCCACTGCATTCCAGCTGGGCAACAGAGCAGGACTCCATCTAAAAAAATAAAAAGAAGAAGCCCAGAGGGCACCTTATCAGCAAACAGAGCCCCAGGATTGCTGCATTCTAATCCAGGGTTCTTTCTTTCTCCTCTATATACTGTCTTTCTGATGGAATTGGGAGTAGGAGGCCTTAGGGTCTGTCCTGCCAAGACCTCACAGTCATGGTGAAGTGCCACGGGGCTGTGCCCATGTGGGGGACAGCATGCCAGGTACCTGCCTTCTCCCCCAGGAAGGAGAGCAGGGACAGGAGGTGCAAGGGCCAGGGTGGGGTGGATGGTGCGTGATTCCTGCAGCCTTACCTCCTCTCCAAAGGCAACCATAGACATCCTGTCCAACAAGGGCAAGGGCATTGCCTTTGCTGACTACAGTGCACAATGGCAGCTGCATCGAAGGCTTGCGATGGCCACCTTTTCCCTGTTCAAGGAAGGCGATCAGAAGCTGGAGAAGATCAGTGAGTGCCAGGCTGGTCCCTGGGGCTGGGGCTGGATCCCACCGGAGCTGCTGGAGGGAGAGGAGGGTTGAGGAGGGAAAAGAGGGTTGAGGAGGGGTGAGGGTTACCACCAGAGCTCAACGCAGCCTTTTTTTGGCTACTGCTGCCATCTAGTGGCCATCGGCTGTCTGTCCCCTGCTCCTGTTAAGAGGGAACTGGTAAAAAGGAGGTGAGGGTGCTGATTCATTTCCCACCCTCATGCCCCCCTCTCCTTTCAGTTTGTCAGGAAATCAGTATATTGTGTGATATGCTGGCCACCCACGATGGACAGAGCATAGACATGTCCTTTCCTGTCTTCATGGCGGTAACCAATGTAATCTCCTTGATCTGCTTCAATTCCTCCTACAAGAATGGAGCCCCTGAGTTGAAGATCGTAGAGACTTACAACCATGGCATTGTAGAAGCCCTGGCCAAGGAGAGCCTGGTAGACATGTTCCCCTGGTTGAAGGTGAGCATGACACCACACCCCGCATTCAAGTTCCAGTAGACCTTGACAGTGTTGCCAGTCTTCCTTTCTTTAACTGTTCCCTCCGGCCACAGTGACCCATCTTTTTCCCGACTGCCTCAGCCACAGTGACCTCTACCTCCTCTACCTCTTAAAACCTTTGCCATTTCTCTGCAGGGATAGATTTAGCCTTTTAATTATGCACATTAATACTCCAGATAATGGCCCTTATTTATTTTCTGATGGCCACGTGCCAGCATGAAGCATTCTATAAGCATTCATCACTGAATTCCCCTTGGTGGTAGGTTTTATTACCTCCATTGTGCAGATGAGAAATAGGCTTAGCAGGGTTAAGGAGCTTGTCCAAGCCTTCAAGCTCACATCTATCTCACTAAGGGCTGGGCACACAGCAGAGTCAGCGGCTGATGTTTGATTGAATAGGGAAGGAGAGGTGGAGGCTATGCCCCCCTTCCTTGTTTAGAATCGTCTTCATAAAAGGCCGGGCACGGTGGATCATGCCTGTAATCCCAGCACTTTGGAAGGCCTAGGTGAGCGGATTATGAGGTCAGGAGATCGAGACCATCCTGGCTAACACAATGAAACCCCATCTCTACTAAAAATACAAACAATTAGCCAGGCATGGTGGTATATGCCTGTAGTCCCAGCTACTTGGGAGGCTGATGCAGGAGAATCACTTGAACCCAGGAGGTGGAGGTTGCAGTGAGGCGAGATTTTTCCACTGCACTCCAGCCTGGGCAACAGAGTGAGAGACCATCTGAAAAAAAAAAAAAAACAAACAAAACACTGGCCAGGCACAGTGGCTCACACCTGTAATCCCAGCACTTTAGGAAGCTGAGGCAGGTGGATCATGAGGTCAGGAGTTCGAGACAAGCCTGGCCAGCATGGAGAAACCCCGTCTCTACTAAAAATACAAAATTAACCAGGCATGGTGGCACATGCCTATAATTCCAGCTACTCGGGTGGCTGAGGCAGGAGAATTGCTTGAACCCAGGAGGTGGAGGTTGCAGTGAGCTGAGATCGCACCATTGCACTCCAGCCTGGGCAATAAAGCGAGACTCTGACTTAAAAAAAAAATTGTCGGGCCGGGCGCAGTGGCTCAAGCCTGTAATCCCAGCACTTTGGGAGGCCGAGGCGGGTGGATCACAAGGTCAAGAGATTGAGACTATCCTGGTCAACAAGGTGAAACCCCGTCTCTACTAAAAATACAAAAAATTAGCTGGGCATGGTGGCACGTGCCTGTAATCCCAGCTACTCAGGAGGCTGAGGCAGGAGAATTGCCTGAACCCAGGAGATGGAGGTTGCGGTGAGCCGAGATCGCGCCATTGCACTCCAGCCTGGGTAACAAGAGCGAAACTCCGTCTCAAAAAAAAAAAAAAAAATTGTCTTAATTGTCACGATGAACCCATTCTGTGTCCCCATCTTCCCTTCCATTCTGGCTAATGGTTAGGGGTGGAGTAGAACTTCCAGAAACAGAAAGCTAAGATCTGCCTCCAGGAGAAACTCTGGCAGCTGGAGAAGGAAAATGGAAGAGGGGTGGATTTAACATTTCTTTTTACTTCTCAGATTTTCCCCAGCAAAACCCTGGAAAAATTAAAGGCCAATGTTAAAATACGAAATGATCTGCTAAATAAAATAATTGGAAATTACAAGGTAGGTGATAGAGCAGATATTATATTCTCAATAGTTATAATATGTTAGGCTGAAAGTAATCATGAGAGCAGGGTGGGGTCCATTCTACAAACGTGGGCACTTCAAAACCTAGCAGACAACCTGGCACATAATAGATGTACAATAAAAACTGACTTAAGGGCCAGGCACGGTGGCTCGTGCCTGTAATCCCAGCACTTTGGGAGGCTAAGGCGGGTGGACCGTTTGAGGTCAGTAGTTTGAGACCAGCCTGGGCAATATGGTGAAACCCCATCTCTACTAAAAATACAAAAACTAGGCCGGGCGAAGTGGCTCATACCTGTAATCCCAGCACTTTGGGAGGCTGAGGCGGGTGGATCACCAGAGGTCAGGGGTTTGAGACCAGACTGACCCACATGGAGAAACCCCATCTCTACTAAAAATACAAAATTAGCCGGGCATGGTGGCGCATGCCTGTAATCCCAGCTACTTGGGAAGCTGAGACAGGAGAATTGCTTGAACCTGGGAGGCGGAGGTTGTGGTAAGCCGAGATTGCACCACTGCACTCCAGCCTGAACAACAAAAGTGAAACTCCATCTCAAAACAAAAACTAGTCAAACGTGGTAACGGGCACCTATAGTCCCAACTACCCAGGGGGCTGAGGCAGGAGAATCTCTTGAACCCAGGAAGCAGAGGTTGCAGTGAGCCGGGATCGAGCCATTGTACTCCAGACTGCGCATTGCAGCAAGACTCCTCAAAAAAAAAAAAAAAAAAACTGACTTAAGGAGTTGGGATGGAAAAGTGAGGAACTGAAGAGGATCCTAGAAGAGACCTACCCCTCCACCAAATTTAAAGGCCCAGGGCTGCCTCCTACCTCCACAAGCTTGTAGGTCCTGCCCAGACCCGCTCCACTTCCAAGTGGAAGGAGCCTTGTTATCTCTAGTCGGGGACAGAAGTATGGCAGGAGTGTCACCGATGAGGCTCCTTCCTTATTACTGTCTCCCAACCTCACCCAACCCAGGAGAAATTCCGCAGCGACTCTATCATCAGCATGCTGGATGTCCTGATGCAAGCGAAGATGAATGCGGATAATGGCAACGCCAGCCCAGATCAAGATGCAGAGCTGCTTTCAGAAAACCACATTCTCACCACCATAGGGGACATCTTTGGGGCCGGCGTGGAGACCACCACCTCTGTGGTCAAGTGGATCGTGGCCTACCTGCTGCACAATCCTCAGGTGTGCATCCCCCTAATCAATCCTAGACCCCTGCCAGCCCAACCGCTGGGCTCCAGAGAGAGGGAGAGGCAATTCCTCAGGCTTTCTATGCAGGAAGACTAGGACTGCCCTGCCCCTTACCCAAGCTGTGGTTGGCTTTGACTGCCCCATCTTCTGGAAGCAGGGCCTGGGCCTCAGAGCCGCTACTGGGAAGGGACTGGACAAGCTCTTCTGGATGTCACAGTTGGATTCCTCTATAAGCCCATGCTTCTCCTGGGCTTACACAAAACTGGTCACCTCCAACCTACTCTGGTCTTCAGGTGAAGAAGAAGCTCTACGAGGAGATTGACCAGAATGTGGGTTTCAACCGCACACCAACTATCGGTGACCGTAGCTGTCTGCTCCTGCTGGAGGCCACCATCCGAGAGGTGCTTCGCATCAGGCCTGTGGCCCCTATGCTCATCCCCCACAAGGCCAACGTTGACTCCAGGTGCGCCTGCCCTCCCAGCAACCTCTAGTCCCATGGTGCATCTAACACTGCTTGCCAGCCCACCTGGCTCCCCCTAGCCCCAGCCTGCTGGCCAACCTAAAGTCAGTCAACCATTGACTACTAAAAAATCATCCTACCAGGTCAGGCACGGTGGCACACGCCTGTAATCCCAGCACTTTGGGAGGCCAAGGTGGGTGGATCACGAGGTCAAGAGATGGAGACCATCCTGGCTAACACAGTGAAACCCCGTCTCTACTAAAAATAAAGAAAAATTAGCCAGGCCTGGTGGTGGTGGCACGTGCCTGTAATCCCAGCTACTTGAGAGGCTGAGGCAGGAGAATCGCTTGAACCTGGGAGGTGGAGGTTGCAGTGAGCCGAGATTGTGCCACTACACTCCAGCCTGGGCAACAGAGCAAGACTCCATCTCAAAAAAAAAAAATCCTGTCCCCGGTCCTATGGCTTTGTGTCTCCACCACCCACAGACAGACATTGACTCATCCACAGATCTGCCTGACTTCTGGGAGAAGCTTCCAGCTGCCCTCGGAGACATGTGGTCTGGGATGAAAGACTGGGAGCTCCATGCTCCATCCAAGTCCAACCAGCTGCAGCACACACATAGCATGCGCCGCAGCGGCAACGCACACCTCCATGCATGCCAGACACCAAGGTCCACAGACACAGGGGTTCAGACATAAGCGCCTGTCAGGAGGGAAGGGCTGGATTTAGATTTGATCTGGCAGAAGCTGAGGAAAAGACTGAGTGGGAAGGACAGAGTAAAGGGCGCTTCCCCTACGGTAGAGGAATGAGGGGGCATGAGGCTGAGCAGGGAAGGGAGGACGAAGTTCCACGTGTTCAGATTCGCTCAGGGTGGCTGGCAAAATATTAAGGGAAAGATTAGGGAAGTCATAGATTATAGTCTCAAACCTTTTAGAAGGCCGAAAAGTTTTTATTAACTTATAGAACAGGCTGAAAGCAGCCCGTTCTTACGTTAGAAAAATAAGTCAGAAAGTGAAGATTAAAATAATACGAGCTTCCCCAGTTAAGTCTGTTTACCTCACATTCCTTTGTCTGTTTACTCGTGTAAACTTTGTGCTAAATAGTCCTCTCAAGAAGTCAAAGAATTACCCTTTAATGGTGTTTATTCTAGGCCCCAGAACCAAGACCTGTTATCATTCGTAAAACCACTCTTTAGTCATGTTAATTAGCCACATGCATATTGACTTAAAACCTCTGTTATTAAATCTATACTGAATAAATGCGAGGAAGAAAAAGGGTACTCATCAGTTAGCTGCCATCGCCCTCTGAAAGCAGATAATGACCCTCTAGCCCAACTCTTAAGCTGCACTCCAGTATGTAACGGTGTATTTCATTCATCTGTTGCTAAGTCAAAGTCTGCAAAAACAGACCTCCGCAAATACTGATCAACATCTCATAGAGCCGCTTTTCCCCCTCCTCCCTGGAGCAGCATCGGTGAGTTTGCTGTGGACAAGGGTACCCATGTTGTTATCAATCTGTGGGCGCTGCATCACAACGAAGAGTGGCACCAGCCGGACAAGTTCATGCCTGGTGAGTCCCTGTCCTGTCCTGTGCCCTGGGCCACACAGCCAGCATGGACTCTGCTCCGCCACTCCAGCACCCCTTCACCTCTGCCACGCTTGCTGCTAGAAAACTCAGCTCCAACTCCACGGACCTGTCGACACCCTCATCCTGCCATAGACTTACCCAAACTCTTCGCAGCTGGTTTCCCACACTCTTCTTCCAACTCTCCAAGAAGCCCTCTAGGCCTCTGTCTGCCATTCAGTCTCTCGCTTCTCCCCTTGGATGGTGGTATTTTCATAGGTTAATTCCACCTCTTTTCCATCCTGAATATTTCATTTCCTCTGTGTCCTTAAAGGTAACTTGAGAGCAGGGCTGTATCTGTCCTCGGGCTGGGGTTCCCCCACAATAAGGCTACATTCTCAGATTGGGGTTCCCTGGGCAGGCAGGGCCATGTCTCCCCTGCCTCTACTTGCTCCTGCCCTAGCCCCTGGCTGATGCCACTCCTTGCCTGCAGAGCGTTTCTTGAATCAAGCGGGAACCCAGCTCATCTCACCGACATTAAGCTACTTGCCCTTCGGAGCAGGACCTCGCTCCTGTATAGGTGAGATCCTGGCCCGCCAGGAGCTCTTCCTCATCATGTCCTGGATGCTGCAGAGGTTCGACCTGGAGGTGCCAGATGATGGGCAGCTGCCCTCCCTGGAAGGCAACCCCAAGGTGGTCTTTATGATCGACTCTTTCAAAGTGAAGATCAAGGTGCGCCAGGCCTGGAGGGAAGCCCAGGCTGAGGGTACCACCTAAAAGCTGTAACTCACAGCCCCTGTCCACCCTGTGGTCCCACAACACGGATTTAGAGGTGCAACCACCCCCCGCTTCTCTGCCGTTCTTCCGAGCTCCCAGACCACTCTGCCTTCTTTTCCAGCCTGTGGCAATGTCAGTGATGTGCATAAACAGTTTTTTTCATAAGGTCCCTGAGTATATTCATTTGCTCACTCAATCTTTCAACACAGATTTTATTGAGCACTTACTATGTGCCATTCACTGTCTCAGGACACTCGAGCTCCATGGTCTCTGAAGCTTATATTCTACTGAGGGCTAACAAGTATATAAGATGTTCAGAGACTCGTAAGTGCTTTGAAGTCAATCACAATTTGTGTGATGTGATAAGAGAATGGTAGCGGCAGCTGGTGGCTGCTTTGAAAAGGGTCAGCCTCAGCCGGGCTTTTCTTGACCCATGCTGAAAGAGAAGCAGGTGAAAGGCCTCCAGGTGGAAGAGGTCAGCATGGCCAATGAAGGGGAGAGTGGGCCCTGATGAGATCACAGTGGTTGGTCAGTTCCCACTGTAGCTGGGATTACAGGAGGACAGGAGGGAGGTTAGGTTTGTATTCTAATTATGACAGGAAGTCACTGGAGGGTTTTGAGTATGTAAGTGGAACAATCTTGGTTGTTGTTTTGCTTTTTTTTTTTTATTTTGAGACGGAGCTTCACTCTTGTTGCCCAGGGTGGGGTGCAATGGTGCGATCTTGGCCCACTGCAGTCTCTGCCTCCCAGATTCAAGTGATTCTCCTGCCTCAGCTCAGTACTGGGATTACAGGTGTGCACCACCGAGCCTGGCTAATTTGTATTTTTAGTAGAGACGAGGTTTCGTAATGTTGGTCAGGCTGGTCGCGAACTCCTGAGGTGTGTTTTTTTTGTTGTTGCTTTTTGATTTTTGTTTTTGTTTTGGAGACAGACTCTCGCTCTATCGCCCAGGCTGGACTGCAGTGGCAGGATCTCAGCTCACTACAACCACCACTCCTGGGTTCAAGCGATTCTGCTGCCTCAGCCTCCTGAGTGGCTGGGATTACAGGTGCCTGCCACCATGCCTGGCTAATTTTTGCACTTTTAGTAGAGATGGGGTTTCACCATGTTGGCCAGGCTGGTCTTGAACCCCTCAAGTGATCCTGCCTTGGCCTCCCAAAGTGCTAGGATTACAGGTGTGCACCACCGAGCCTGGCCTGAGTTTATATTTTGAGAGTAGGGCCAAAGGATTGTTTGTTTTGATCCAAACAGGCTTCACTGCATGTTACCTCACAGGTTTGACCTTGGGGGAGTGTACATGACCCACAGACTGGACCTGCCATTGCCATCCCTCTGTCTCGGTCTGCAAAGACCAAGACTGTGTGTCCCCTTTCCTCATCCTTCCCTGGGGTAAACACTGCCAGGTAAGGGCTTCTACAGCCATCTTCTGCAGCAGCGCTTGGGTTCTGCCTCCTTTTCCCCACTCAAAAACCCCAGGAAGTCTATAAAAGCTTCCTCACTAGAAAATGGAGCCCTGACTCCTTTAGATCTTGAATCCAGTATGTTTAAACCTTGGTCATTGGGCAGTCTGCAAATGAATGTCCTGAGATATCCCGGAAGAAACTGACCCTTGCCTTTTAGCCTAGAGAGAGGCCCGGTCCCCAGCTGCCTGGTGTCAGCCAGACAAGGGTCAGATCATCAACAACCCAGTCCTTCCCCCTCTGACTAGACAGAAGGCTCTGGAAGGACCTCAGCAGAGCATGGCTGACACCCTGCCCAGCTAAGTCTCAGAGAAAAGAAATCAAAGGAGTTCGAGACCAGCCTGGCCAACATGGTGAAAACCCATCTCTACTAAAAATACAAAAATTAGCTGGGCATGGTGGCGCACACCATGAGTAATTCCAGCTACTCAGGAGCCTGAGGCAGGAGAATCACTTAAGCCTGGAAGGTGGAGGTTGTGGTGAGCCGAGATCACACCACTGCACTCCAACCTGGGCAACAGAGCAAAACTCTGTTTCAAAAAAAAAAAAAAAAAGCTTTGTTAATCAGGGGCAATGGACAATTCCCTACTATCCCCTAACTTGGTTTTGGCCTTCATCTGCCAGTTACCCTGGAACTTTGCTAAAGAGCCTGCAGGAGGCCAGGTGTGGTGGCTCATGCCTGGAATTCTAGCACTTTGGGGAGGCCTAAGCAGGAGGATCCCTTAAGCCCAGGAGTTTGAGAACAGCCTGGGCAACAGAGTGAGACCCTGTTTCTACAAAAATTAAAAAAAAAAAAATTAGCCAGGCATGGTGGCACACCTGTAGTCTCAGCTACTCAGGAGGCTGGGGTGGGAGGATTGCTGGAGCCCTGGAGGCTGAGGCTGCAGTGATTTGAGATCGCACCATTGCACTTTAGCCTGGAGCAAGAGCCCATCTCTAAAGAGAAAGAAAAAAAGAAGGATTAGTCTTTCATTTTTCTACCATTCAACATTCTGGTTCAGTAGTTAGAGAACAGATGTTTTCCATCCCGGTTAAACTCACCTACCGCTTCTACAGAGGACACAGGCCTTCTGCTAAGTGCCTATCCGTTCACCATTAGTCTACAAAATGCCTTTTAGGCCAAGCACAGTGGCTCACACCTGTAATCCCAACACTATGGGAGGCCAAGGTGGGCAGATCACTTGAGCTCTGGAGTTTGAGACCAGCCTGGCCAACGTGGTGAAACTGTCTCTACCAAAAATACAAAAATTAGCTGGGCATGGTGGCACACACCTGTAGTTCCACCACTCAGGAGGCTGAGATGGGAGAATCACTTGAACCCAGGAGGTGGAGGTTGCAGTGAGCCAAGATTGTGCCACTGCACTCCAGCCTGGGTGACAGGGTGAGTGAGAGAGACTCTTTCTCAAAAAAAAAAAAAAAAGCCTTTCAAATTCTGAGCAAATTTGAAGTACTTAACCTTCCTCCAGCCAATCTTGTTCCCCTCTGCTTTGAGCTGAGGATAGCTTGACTTGAATCTATCCCCTAGCTGATGGGGCAGAGGAACCGGGAGAGAGAAGGGGACAACCATCAGTTCAGCTTTTCCCTTGAGCTCACTGTGCTGTCAGCCTCTCTCCCAGGCTGCTTGTGATGGGGGATGGGGTCAGCCACAGCTGACCACAAACTCTCCTATGAACTTCATTTTTTTGAGACAGGGTCTCACTCTGTTCCCCAACCTGGAGTGCAGTGGTGCGATCATGGCTCATTGCAGCCTGGAACTCCTTGGCTCAAGAGATCTTCCTGCCTCAGCCTCCTGAGTAGCTGGGACTACAGGTGTGTGCCACCACTCCCGCTAATTTTTAAGTTTTTTTAAGAGATGGGGATCTAGCTATGCTGCCTAGGCTAGTCTCAAACTCATGGTCCCTAGTGATCCTTCTGCCTTGGCCTCCCAAAATTCTGGGATTACAGATGTGAGCCACTGTGCCCTGTCTAAACCTTCATTCTGAAGATAAGGAAATTGAGGGCCATCATGAGGTAGGGGTAGGGTTTGACTTGCCCCAGGTCACACAGCTACTCAGCAGCAGGGCTGCAACCAGAACCTGAGATTTCAATGGGGCATGGGGAGGAGCCAGCCGTGCTTTCCCCTCTGTCCCCTGTGGTCACACAGGACTCTTGGTATGTTTGACAGGGGGAGTACCTTTCAGAAAAGCTGAGTGACCTTTCAGAAAATGACTACGAAATTTGACTCCTGCCAAACTGTGCTCTCCCCTGTTTGGAAGGCCTTTTCACCACTGATCTAAACTCACCACCTTGAGGCTCAGACATATTTCTTATGACTCATGAATCCACCATAAGCATCCCTCTTCAGCACTGAGCTTCTGTTCCTTGGTATTGAACCTAAATTGAACCTTGGCCTCTGAGCATCTGCCTGGGTGGGAGTACCCAGGGACACTGTCCACCTCTGTACCTCTGGAATTCAAGACTGAGCCTTCTCATGTTCTTTATCCTGCATGTCAGCACCTGACAAGTAGAAAGTTAGACACACAAGAGTGACGAAGGACAGGCAAGCCCCAACATTGGGGCTTAGCCCAGGAAGGTTCTTGGCTTCATCCAGGGAAGAATTCCAGGGCAAGTTGGTGGTGGTGGCCAGCAAGCAGCAGTGACAGCAACAGCAGAGGCACTGCTCCTCGCAGAGCAGGGCTACCCATGGGCAGTGTGCCCAGAACAGCAACGCAGAGGCGGGGCTGCACTCATATGGATATCTAATTATATGCAAATTAATGGGTAGATTATGCAGAGATTTCTAGGATAAGGGTGGTAACTTCCAGGTCATCAGGTCATTGCCATGAAAAGGGACGGTAACTCCTGGGTTTTGCCACAGCAATAGTAAACTGACATGGCACCCTATCAGGCATGTCTTATGGAAAGCTGCTTCTGCTGCCTCGCCCACCCCGCGTTTTAGCTAGTCCTTAATTTGGTTCCATGTCTGAACCCCACCTCCTATTCAAGAGGACTGAATCAAATGCTCTAAATCACTTGGTTAATTGGCCCAGTGATAAGTAAATAAATTCTATTTCCTTATGCAGAAGAAAGCCCAGATCTTTGACAGAACTGGAAGGTCTTTGCCAAGACTCCACAGTCACCATTTGAGCCTCAGACTGTCCTTAACCAGTGGTGTGATGATAAATAAATGTTTAACCACCAGGTCTGGGAGGAGTGGGTGGGTGTGGAATAGCCTTGATTTGCAGTGTTTGCTGATTACTGTGGTGTAAATACTCCCACCATGACCAATGTTAAGCTACTAATGCGATGCCAGGAAATGCAGGGAAGAGACAATAGTAGCATTATACGTTCTTTCTGTTATCATGATATAGTAACGCCATTATGCAGTATTTCTACTATACTGATACATACATTAAAAAACCTCGAAGGCACAGATAACAGTAACATGTAGTAAAATAATTAGGAAATAATCAGTTTTGAGTATTTATTACCTTTGTTTTTAATATAACCCAATTGTAGCTTTATTTAAGTTTTTTAAATTGGCTCCTTCATATAAACAGCTCATAAAATTCCTGAAAATGTAATAATCCATTCTAGTGAGCTATTAAGAGCCAAGCCTCCCAGAAATGGGCCATTCTTGTCTTAAAGAAAAGCAGTTCCTGGCTGTGCACTCACATCTGTAATCCCAGCACTTTGGGAAGCCAAGGAGGGCAGATCACCTGAGTTCA